GGGAAATCATGCCTCCCAACCCAACAAGGTTCACCACAGTTGGCCTCCCATTTATAACTGAGATGGCTGAGATGAGGATCCTTTGATACTTCTAAATTAATTTTTGTGTGCACTATTAGAAAAAACGGGCTATAAAATTAGGCAGAATACACGGAAAACACACTTAATTGGTCTCTCAGTTGGTCTCTTATTATTTTCAAAAATTAGAGAAAGAGTGTTAGCTGCTTTCTTCCTTTTAAATTTCTTTTAAAAGGAAAAAACTTCCTTTTAAATTTGCATAGTGTATAATTATTAAAATTGGATGAAACCTTTGAATTTCCCTAGTCTCAGATTACCTCTAACTATGACTTAAAGAAACAAAAGAGTATTAAGAATGTTAACTGCATAATTAAGCCTTGTTTTGAGAAGTAATTTTGAAGCATGACAAGGAAGCTCACTTCTGAAGATAGCAGATATGAGGTCTATCCAGAAGAAGTCCAGCCATTGTTAATATAACGAGAACTGTTTGTGTGACATCGATGTAGCCTGGCAGCCACGGAGAGTGAACTGGAATGCCCATGTGTGAACTATGACTTCACTGTAGACGCCAATTGAGTGAGCATGTGTATAGTGTGGCTGTTGCACTAAAAAAGACTGGGCCAGCAGAGCAACAAATCTGCATCAAATTTTGCATTAAGCTTGAACATTCCCCTGGGGAAAATATTAGGATGACTCGGAAGGTCACAGCTATGAGCAACTGGTGACTGGCAGCTTCATTACAATGCACCCACTCATGCGTGACGTCTCATGCGGTTTTTTGGCGAAACATCAAATCACCAGGTGACTCAGCCCATCTAAAGGCCAGATTTGGTGCCCTGCAACTTCTGGCTTTCCCCAAAAATAAAATCATCTTTCAATGGGAAGAGATTTCAGACCATTCATGAGATTCAGGAAAATACAACGGGGCAGCTGATGGCAATTGGGAGAACTGTGTGAGGTCCTGAGGTGCCTACTTTGAAAAGAGGACTGAGGCGTCATTGTCCTATGTACAGTGTTTCCTGTATCTTCTTCAATAAATGTCTCTATTTTTCATATTGCCTGGCTGGATACTTTCTGAGTATATGAGGTCTCAGAGAGAGACCTCATATATATAAACCCCCAAACAAGCATTTCACAAAAAGTAGTAAAATAGATTTAATGTTCAAAAGGCATTAACTACCTTAATTAGACACACTCCTAGAAACGGATTTATAAGTTTTGCTATGTTTGGTTTATTTGTTTTTCATATAGTCAAAAAGATTATAATAATCCAGGTTTATGTTAATTTAGAATGTCATCTGGGGGTACGTGAACAACTATCTTAACCAATTTTTAGTTAACACGCCTTCCCTCCCCGAGGGGTGCAGTCTCTTGATTTCTGTGTTTCTCTTTTCCTCAGGCTCTGCATGGAATTTTCCTCTCCTCTCCTTTTGGTGTAATACATGATCACAGGTTCGTTGTCTTGTTTTCCCCTGGGTGGTTTGGGTACTTCTATTTCCTTCTCCCTTTTCATCTTTTCTATCCTTATGGCCTCCAACAAGATCCTCTCCAGGGTCCCTCTGATCTCTATGCTAATAGGAAAGCACTGAAGTGACTGAATGAAAGACAAAAGAGGAAAAAAAAAATCCCGAAAGCAGCTGGGAGCCCTTAGCTCTAACCATCTCTATGGAAACAATTCCACCAAGCTCCATCTGGAAACAATTCTGTAGGGATTGCAGGAGCGGTGGTAAGCCTGTCTCACTAAGCTTTACTTGGAGGATCCAACTTGCAAATGGGAATAGTTGATAGACACTGTTTGTTGTTATTGTTGTTTTTAAGAAAAATGGTAAAGTAGGAAGTCAAATAAAAATTAGGTTTACCCCTACATAATGCACTTTTTTAAAAACTCAAAACTTCCTACTTGCTATAATGATTTTTAAAAAGCAAACGGAATATATGTACTAATTTCAAGTTTTCTAAGCATTCGCAATGGCAAATAGCAGAGTGCACAATGTAAAGAAATTACAGCCAAAGAAAACATCAAGGTGTGCTGGTAAAAAGTCATTACAATGCTTTTAGGTTTGAGGCCAATAACCACACAAAGTAAGTATGTGGAAAGAATGTCAAACTCAATCAGGCAGTAAATAAATTATATGGATTCAGGCAAAGGGTGAAAAGGATTACAGAATTCCATCTACCAAATCAGGTGGAAAGACTGAAAGGATAAAGTAGGGAAGTGACTTGAAATGAAGAAAGAACTCCATCTGAAGTGTGAAATTTTGGAGTCTTACCAATACAACAAATATTTTAAAAAGAAGGGGTTGGGGGTGCGAACAGTGTCAGCAACATCAGGACATTAAGTGTAGGGCCTGTTCAAGTCTCCAGCCAATAAATTGTTAACTGCAGATCTCTGGAAGAGTAATTTCAGTGTTTGTTTAGGGGAAATAACTTTGGTTTGCCTAAAATGACGTTTGTTTAAAACCGTGGCCACTGGTGTAAAATCATTTGAGTTCAAAACGCTAGCTTCTGACACTTAGGTGTGTAACCTTGGGCATTTTTTTTTTCACTTTTCTAGAACTCAGGCAACTTTTCTGTAAATTGGGGATAATAATTACTGTATTTCACAGTTGTAAACAGTAGTGAATTGAACACAGCACCTAGCTCAAGCAAGTTCTCAATAAATATGGGCTATTATTAATACATTATCCTGGTTTTGTTTCTGTCTGTAGTAATGATGACCACACTAACTTCTTCCTTTTCTGAGGGGTATTTTAAAGGAGTGGACTCAAGAAAGGCACTACAGAACTACGGCTTAACCAGTTCTTACTGTTCTGTACTTTGCTTCCCCCCCCCCAAACTATAACAGGAAGTTTATTTTAAAAAATCACAGAGGTAAAAGATATGAGCCATAGAAGATATGGGCCTCAGGAAACAAGTTACCCAGGGAAAAGGAGGGGCCCTTGGAGTTTAGGAGAGAAGGGTAAAGCAAGTTGGAGGATGAAGCAGGCTTAAGCCGAACCACGTGGCGCCATGAAATACGTGTAGGGTAACTAGCCTTGAAATGTAAGGAAACTGAAGATAACTGGCTTCCTGTGTCCACTCCACACACTGAGATCTCATGGGGGAAACATTCAAGCTTATTCACTGCAAGCACCCCTTGCTCCCCCAATCCCACCCTGTACGAGTTTCCCAATGCCCTTACTACAAAGTCTGACTGGATATTGACGTTCTATACAAGCCAGGTTCACCGACATTTCCTACAGAAACAATCGTGCGCTCAAACTCATTTCCTTCTCTCCGTCTCACTTCTTGTCCCTTCCTATTTCTGGACCTTAACTTGCATTAATCTCTTTACCAGGATTGCCCTCCACCCTTCCCAGAAATTCAGCTGGCGTTTTTTTTAAATTAAAGACATTAGGTGTCGCTAGGAACCTCCGTGATGTGACAGTACAACCAACAAGTACTTACTCGGTGTCACTTGTATGTGGAACTTTCAAGGATGCAAAGCTCTAGTTACAAAACGAGCCAAAGTCGGCCGTCTAGGGCTGCTAATGGATCACTCAGGTTACGAAGTGTGAGAGATAAAAGGCAAGAGGAATGCGAAGGCGAGAGCAGAGAGCGAGGTACGTATTTGCAGGTAAACGCGGGTAGAAAGGAAATCAATCGAGAAGCCCCTCCCGCCCCCCACCCCCGCGACGTGACCCACTGGTGGACGACGGTGCGGACAGCGCCAGGGCCAAAGGAAGGAGGTGCCAGGGGCCAAAATTAGGGCCAGTGGACACTTGAATCTCTCCAGCGTTGAAAAACTCCTATATTTACCGCATAATACAAACATGGTGGACAAGGAAAATGCTCCCTGTTTGGCGGGAGAACCACGTGGCGCTTTTTCCACGCAGGTGACGCTGAAGTAAGGGCGGGCCTTTATGGAATTTGTTCGTGGTGGGGCAGAGTACTGGAGAACTCTCCGAAACTGAGACACCACTATTCCTCCAAACATGTTGGTAGAACCACTATTACCACTCACCCTCCGAGAAAGGCCAGAATGTGGGCTCTGAGAATTTGATAGCTGTATAGAAGGCAAGCACGGAGGACCTCTCCGCCCTTTCCTCTAACTGGACCTGCCTATGCTTCTCTACCAACTGGTCAGCAGACTAGCGCGCAAGAGCACTACTCATAGCACGCGCCAAAGTGGCCTCGACTCTCTAATCTCGCGAGAACGGGGGCGGCCGGTTCTCGCTGCTCGCGCTGCTCTCGCTCCACCTACCCCCTCCTCGCTCGCACTCTCCCATCCCCCCAAGCCATTCGCTTTGCTGCGCAGCTCCCTAAGCGGTTCCCTCCGCCGGAGACGGTTGGAAGAACCGTTGTGGGGAGCGCTACACTAGGCGAGCGACTTCTTTCTCTCCACCGAACCCCGCAAGCACCGGAGTCGGCGCTGCTGTCGTTGGACAGGGTATCTGAAGTAAAAGGGGGTAGGTTGGGCTGGTGGTTTCGTGAGCACAGTCGGGAGAAGGACGAAAGAGACTGGGAGGGTGTGGGGGGGGGAAGTGTGGAGGTCGCCGCTTGGAAGCAGCCAGGCTACTCCTCCCAGGCGATCTCCCACTTCAGCGGGGGGGCGGGATGTCGGGGGGAGGGCTTGCTAATGTGAAATTCAGAGAATGAAGCCCGAGGCCCGAAATGGGGGTCATCCAGCATTTCTCCTTTCCCTGCTGGTTTGGCCTCCGCCATTTTGGGTACGGTGGCGCGGCCGCCTCTGCTTCCCGCCCTTCCTCTCTCTCTACTTTTTGCCCCTCAGTTTTCCGAAACTGATTTAGAAGGCTGGAAGGTGGTCAGAACGCCCTGGAGGGGATGAGGGTGGGGAACGAAGCGAGCTGGGAACCGCGGGGCAATTGGGCGGGGGTGGGGGGAGGGTCTGGGCTGACGGGCGCGCTCCCGATGGAAATGGCGCTGGATGGGCCTGTCCTCCCACCGCGGCCTCCCATCCTCTGCAGTCTCGGCTGGGCTACCTGGGCTGGCGGCACTGCCAGTGACTTCTGACGCAGATTCTCAAGATGAGAGAGGCTGGAGCTGGGGGAGGAAAGCCAATGGCGACGAAGGCGCTCTACTCCTAAATCCAGGACAAAGGAGGCAGGCAGAGGTCTTCCTTTGTAACTCCGCCGCCCGGTGGCTAAGGTTTTTAAGCCAGGCTTGGCTGCCGGACGGGGAGGCGGGGGAAGGGGCGTACTCTCCCTAGCCCTCTGGTCTCCAGGGCAGCTAGATAAACGAAAAGTCTCCGGGGAGGAATAAAGGACGCTTAGCCGGCCCTTATATTCCAGATTTGGAACTTCGAAAAGAGTACGTACTCATTTTCCAAAGGGATTTTTTTTTTATTCGCGCTTACTTTAAACGTAAAGAGTTCGTGGGTAATTGTTTTGTAAGCAGAAAAGCGGGCGACTTATCGAATAAAAATATGAGATGGGCATATTTCAAATAGGTCGTCTGGGCCCAGTGAACTATGTGATACAGTTTATTGAACTTTGGGATGGGGTGGGTGGTTTAGCAATGGTTCTCTATAGTTTGGCATATACTGAGTTAGAATTGTAGTAGGCGTTTTACATTTGGGGAAAATGTTAAAACAACCAGTGGTGACAAAAAATGTGTGGTAGGAATTGAGTTACCGTGCGAAGATTCTTTTGGCATTAGGCTGTATAAAATACTTTAAAATACAGTTGGGGTTTTTCTGGAAGCCAAGCGTGTTTTTTATTTAATGTAGGACTATCGTAATATTTTGACCAAAAGCATAGGCCTGCTCAACAGCCAGACAAACTGAAAGCTCAGTCCATACGGTGTATTGATGGTCGTTAGAACACAGGAGAACTGGGTGGGTAATTTCCACGGAGGACGGTGGTAGGAAAGGGACAGAATAAGAGTTTTCCAGTAATGCATATGAATCTTTACAAAAGTATCTTATGTACATTTCTAGCTTTAAAAGACAGGCCGAAGTTTACTTACGAGGTAGTACGTATGTGATGTAACAGCTTTCCTAAGTGGATTGCCCTAGAAATCTTTTTCTCTGCTCTCATCTGCATCATAATCTGGAAATCCATGTAATTGCCTTTATATTTCTAACAACTATGTTCTTTTTTTGGTGGCCTCATACTAGTAAACAAGCAGCTGGATGTAGTAACTTCGCTCTAGAAAAGAACTCCTTTATAGTCCTTTAGGTATAAGTAGTGCGTCTGTCTTTTTTAAATTTAAAATTGAGTAAGCACATCAGAAAAGGGAATAATATAAAATTCCCATTTTAGTTAAACATTTTTTGCCAGAATTTGGAATTCTCATTTTTTAGAACCAATGGGCTGTCGTTTAGAAAGTTATTGATGCATCAAATCCATTATGTATTAAACTTTAAAAGATGGTGTAATCTCTGCTGCTATAAAGGAATTTTATATTTCATTTGATGTCTCTTAGATGCTTTTTATGACAAACTAAAGTCTCATATAAAATGGACTAAAGTTGTCCTAATGTTTCAACTGCTGGTATTTTTAATTGGTGCTAGCACTTGGAAATCTTAAAACAGAATTGTGATTAGTCATAATGCTGTTGTAAAGAAAGGGCGAGCTGGATTTTTCTGAATAGGTGGAAACTATTTAGGTAGTTTCTGATAGTTTTATTAAGGTACTAAAGCAGATCGTCTTTTTGTATTCCTTTAGACTTTGTCTTGGTTTTGTCTTCTAAGTAGAATTCTAGACTCAAATTTTTGGGTTTTGAGGAAATAAAAGTGTTTTTATTTGATAAATTATTTCTTTTTAGAGAGAGGGGAAGGGAAGGAAACATAGATGTGTGAGAGACACATCAGAAGGCTGCCTCTTGCATGTCCCCTGACTAGGAATCGACAGTGCCCATCTCACTGAGCCACACCAGTGGAGGCAAGTGTGCTTCCTTTTTTTGTGTGTGCTCTCTCAGTACACATGGGATGGAGAGTTGCCCTCTTAATAGTTTCTTCCGAATTTGGTTAAGTTTTCCCCAATTTAAAATTGTGTTTAGGTTTTGTGGGGTTTTTTTTAATAATGGTACTTTTATTTGTTTTTATATAGATTTCATTGGGATAGGCTGATCAGAAAGTCAAAACTTAGTTTGCTTACAAGTTCTTGTAGTAAAATAATCTACTTTCGATTTTTGTATTTGTTTCCAAAACAGTATCTTCACATTGACAACATGTGCATAGTGTTATAAAAAGTATCATGTTAATGTTTTGTGTTTTTTTTTTTAATTTTTACTTAGTGATTTTAGGGAATAGGAGACATTGATTTTTCTTATTTCGTTTATGCATTCCCTGGTTGATTTGTATGTTCCCTGATCAAAATCCACTACCCACGCAGTGGGGCGATGCTCTAACCAGCTGAACTACCCACCCAAGGCTTCACAACAGATTGACTTTGCAAAGTTCTTAAATTTTTCATGAGGAAGTAACATGTGGTGTTAGATCTCCTCCACTTTTCCCCTATTTTGTTCTTAACTTCCTTTATAGAAAGCAGCTATTGTTTCTTAGGTTGATGCTATTTTTTCTTTCCTCTTTTTTTTTTTAATTTAAGAAAATGGTAGATCTTCAAAATGTCTCTTAACTCCCCCTCCCACCCTGTTTTTGGAGCCTATTTTCAGGGCTACTAGACGAGTATTTTTAAGTCATCTAGCTAATATATATATTACAGTAAGTGTTTCAAAAAAACCCTCTATTCTCTTTGCTTTAGACAGTTTCTAAGGAAATGTGAAAACTCCTGACAATGTTTATTTCCTTTTAAGACTCAGGATACTTTCCTGTCTTTTAAGGTTCAGTTATTTTGTTAGTAGTACATTTCACTAGTTCTACAGGGCCCCTTAAAATGTGATAACAATGGCCACTGTTGACTAAGTGGTTACCTTGCCACAGAGCATGCACTGAATGATTCTTAAAATGGTCCAGTGAAGTATAAGCACCCCTGTTGTATTTTATATTTGGACACAGCAGTTAGGTAATTTGCTTAAATTAAGTAGCCAGTGAGTGACAGACCAGTGAATCAAATCCAGTTTCTTTTCTCTTTAAAAGTTCATACCAGTTATTTGTATGCATAAGACTTAGTTTTACAATATCAGATAAAAATGCATATTTTTGCCATTCGAGATCTCTATCTAGAGTGGTACCTAGGATTCCTGTTTTAAAAAAACAACAGAACAGGTATTAGAAGTGATTGATATGCAGAGATGATATGATTTATAACCACATTTGGAAATTTCTACATTTAGCTTATTTTTAAATGCATTAATTTCGGGGTGGGGTGTTACTCTTTGCAGATGCTGCCCCTAAGAGTTGCACTGATAATTCAGTCGTGTGAAATTAAATATTAGTGAATATTGTTTATACGAAATACAATTTTTGAGCATACAGGAATCAAGTGAACAAATTATTTTACTTACAGGGGAGGTGATGGTGAGGGAAGGTTTTGAAATAATCAAGTGAGTAGGATTCCTACAGCTGCATAATGAAATTTATAAGCTCTGGTAAGTTTCTGCAGCTGAAGGACTTCTGCATTAACCTTTTAAAAAGTGTTTTGGAATATTAAAAGGAAGGGTGGATGTCTTGGGAAGGGAACAGGGTGGATGGGTTCATTTTGGAGGGGAAAAACAGCTTCTCTTGCTGTACTCTTTAATGCTTTCTTTTTTAATGTGAATGTATTGTCATTTTAAAAAATTTGTGTCTTGCCCTGGCTGGTGTAGCTCAGTTAATTGAGCGCAGGCCTGTGAACCATGCGATCGAGGTTCGATTCCCAGTCAGGGCACATGCCTGGGTTGCAGGCCAGTTCCCGGTGGGGGGCACATGAGAGGCAACCACACATTGATGTTTCTCTCCCACTCTTTCTCCTTCCCTTCCCCTCTCCCTGAAAATAAATAAATAAAAAATTTTAAAAAAAATTTTTGTGTCTTAAAGCAGTGAGTAAACTGGATTTTAATACACTATATTCAATAACTCCCAAAATGGGTGGTTTCAAAAAAAAAACACCAATGACTGTCAGAAGGCTTTTTTTTTTTTTTTTTTTTTTTAACCTCCATTTAAAAATTCATCCTAATTTAGTCATTAACCCTTGTGGAGTGTTTGAACCAGATTTAGATAAAATAATGATAGGGTTTTTCCCCCCTTCAAAAACAGCTTGATATGTTCAGAATTATAGTGCATCAAACAAATTGACACTTGTGATGTTTTCCAACATCAAAGAAGTACTCGTGCTTTTGACTTCAGTTCTTCCTGTGAGTGGATGGTGGTACCGTGTGCAAACTTCTGAGTGGTTAAGTTTTAAAGACTGCAGAACTATTCAAGTGAATAATAAAACCTGGAAAATGTAAGTGAAAATTTGAGAGATGAGGAAGAGGCAGAATTGATGTTAAATGGTAGGGTTGAGAGAGTTTGAAGACTGAGGAGGAATTAATTATGTAAACTTTTGTAAAATCAGGCAGTATATATTTGCTCCTTATAAATTCAGTACTTTTTCATGGGAGGGGTCACATTTCACTGCCTTTTTTCAGTCTTTGCCTACCTCAAAACAGAAAGGTGCTGTGCCATTGTATTGTTGTAGCATTGTCACTGGAGTCACTGAGCTGTATGTTACATTTCCTGTTGTGCACCTCTGAGAGGTGTTTCTTCAGTACCTCTGACAAGAGTGTATTTTGATTGACTGCTTTATGTGCTTGTTTATTTTTTTATAGCGTTTATATCAAACGGTATTGAGATGGATTGGGTTATGAAACATAATGGTCCAAATGACGCTAGTGATGGGACAGTACGACTTCGTGGATTGCCATTTGGTTGCAGCAAAGAGGAAATAGTTCAGTTCTTTCAAGGTACCTCTAGTATTAGTCAAAGTTTAGTAGTATTTTAATTGTACATTATATTACTCAGTTTTTAATTTGCAAAACCCATTTGCTTGGGGGACTTTTTAATTTGAGTATGATATGTTGGTTAATGTATAAAGTTATGAAATTTGCTCCAGTCAATATTACATACAGAATGTGTAGAATATGTAAAATATGCAATAAACTTAATTGAGAGTAATTATGTGTGATGAAATGAACCATGAATTAGCATATGAAACAGCTAAATTTGATTTGTGATTTTTTAATGT